TTTCCTTTTGCATTTAAATCTTTATTACAAGCAATCCTGCGGTTCATAAAGAACTTTGTTTTCCTTCCTCCACGAGTGCCATCTATTATTGCCTTGTTTATAAAAAAGTATCTAAAAGTGCTCTTTTCCTTTAAACCTAGCCAAAAAGCTATATCTTAATCCGTTAACATGATCGCGGAAAAAATACGCACCACATACGCATTGCCAACGGAGTAATGTGAACCTGGCATTATGTGTGTGCGCTGCGAGTATGCATGAGTGCTCAGTCTCCAGGAGAGCACGCGAGCGCTGAATGGTTTAAACACTGGCAAGAATGAAAAAGTAATGCAATTTATAAACTTTAGTGACGATGTGACACTGCCTCGATTGTGCAAGTGACAATTCCTGTGTCAACTGTGCAGCGTGCAGCTTATAGACAGAAGCGATGTGGTGATTTGAAGCCGTTTGCGTATTTTGAGAGAGAAAGAGAGAGAGAGCGTGCGGTGATCCACTCACGCTGTTTGTGAAATTAGGTCTCACACAAGGTTTTCAAATTACTTTATAAGTTATTTAATGAAGAAATATGAAGGTGAGTACCTCACAACAATTAACAGCAAATGTTCATTTTTGGGTGAACTAACTAGGGACCACTTAGGCCTATATAAAAGCATCTAAAAAGCAGCATGTCATGGGACCTTTAAGTTGAAGAGAATTTCAAATAATATTTAAAAAAGTAAATGAACAATGTTTCATCTGTGTGTGTGTCATCCGCAGCTTCCTTTGATAAGCGTTATAAGGCGGCGTATGTGCGCTTGAGCAGTTCTCTGGGCCGAGAGGAGTTGAGGAGGAAGAGAGTCCAGCCGCCCAGTCCTAAAGCTGTCGACTGCAGACGCTGCTTCCTGCTGCCGCTGGAGTGCTGAACACACATCACACACACACACACACACACACTCCGCTCGTCTCGTCTCGTAACGTCGCGTCTCATCGTCGTCTTCACGCTGCTTGAGGAGGAAATGCGACACACAGTCCAAGCACTTCTGCTGGTACGTTGACTGCAGACGCAGCTGTGCATTATGGGAACGCGTGACCCTTTCACCAAAACTGCTTCTGTATCCCACAATGCCGAGCAAACTGACACCCGCCCCCGCCTCGGATGATTTCATAGGATCTAGTGTGGCGTCTGGATTTACCTCGTTTATTTCTGTTTGTTTGATTTCATGGAACTCAAAGATGAAGATCCGGTTGTAAACGCCGGAAGGCATCATGGGAGTTTGAGATAATTCTGCACTGGAGTGACGCTCTGAGCTCCTTCATGTTAGTGTGAGATGTTTCCCGACCAGCAGATCCATCGTCTCTATTCTGGACAGGACAGTTACTCAGTAAACTAGTCCGATTAGGACTAGTTAGTTCCTCTGAACCGTGTTTGTGTGTGTGAGAGAGAGCAGTGCTGCTGTCGAGCTACAAACACAAACATGTTTTATTCAGTAATTTAAACGTTTTATTTTATTCAGTCATTTTAAAGGCTTTCTCCTGGAGAATCATGACTTCCTGTGATGCTCTGATTGGCTGACGTCCATGTGCTGCTGTCAGGACACACACAAAGAGATTCTGAGAAATGTCTCGGTGTTTTCTGTTCATATATTGAAAGTCAGCGGGTCCAGAGTTGTTTGTCTCCCAACATTCTTCAAAATACATTTACATTTATTCATTTATCAAATTATTCATTTTCAAAACATCAGAAGACATGAGGAGAGTGAATGATGGCTAAATTGTCTCATTAAATGCACACATCAAGGTTGAATTTGTAGATTTTATTTTATGCTGTTTTCAGTCCTGTCTGATGATGATTTATTTTTTCTATATGCAGTAGGAGTCCAGGATATAATATAAAACTATGAAGGAACTAGATGCATTCAATCCAGCTGACTTCCTGTACATTTCACAGTACAGTTTTAATACCAACAGAGCTAAAAGTTACAAAGTTACAATATTTAATTTACAACAATCATTTGTGATGATACCAATGATAATTTTCATTATTGTTTTGCTATATATATATATATATATATATATATATATATACACTTTAAAACACTTTACAGTAAGATTTCATTTGTTAATGCATTAGCTAAAATTAACTGTTAATTAGCAATATATATTTTACAGCATTTATTCATCTTTGTTAATGTTGGTTAATAAAAATTCAATTTTTAAAATGCATTTGCATGCTAACAGTGCATTAACTAATATTAATAGATACAACTTTGGATTTTAATAATGTATTAGTAAATGTTCATATTTGCATTACTTAACAATTAATAAATGCTGTAGAAGTATTTTTCATTGTTCATGTTAACAAATGAAAGCTCACTGTAAAGTGTTATCAAAAATCTCGATGAAGAAGACTTGATTTTCTGTAATCAAACATGTCGTTCTGTTGGTTCGGTGTGAAATGTGATCTGCTGCGCTTCATCCGCTCGGCTTCTCTGTTGTGTCGGGAAGCGTCTCGCTCTCGTTTGCTCTTCTGATCCGTGTTTCTTGAGTTTTTGTATTTGTCTGAGTTTCTTCTCCTGGAGTGAAAGTCTGTGATCTGTGTTTAAAATCACCGTTACAGAGAAAATGCTTGTGACTGTAGGATTTACGGCACATTCGTTAGTCTTAATTTTATTGGCGAGGAATATGAACCTGCTAGAAGAGTTTTAGTGGCATTAGAGGAAGTGATGTAAGAGGAAGCTGTAGCTTGTGCTCTTATTCACTGCAGTAACCGCGGAGCAGCCGAGCTTCACTGCAGTATGAACGTCTGCATTTATCCAGAGAACAGAGATTATAAAGCTATATTTAAGTTTTTATGTGTTTGCTGTGCTAATTTATATTGATGTGACCTTTGACCTTTATTGTGAATGTTGTTTTGCTTTTTCTTTTTTAAGAAAACAGTTTTAAGAACCCTCATTCTGTCTGCGTTTCTTCAGATCACTGGCATGTGAGTTTATTGTAAATAATTAGCGAGACCTTTGATTATACACACACACACACACACACACACACACGTGTTATAATTGCATATATAAATTAGAAAGAAAAAAATATAATGCATAAAATATAAAACATATGAAGAATATAATTAACACAAGAGATATATAAAGAGAAAAAATAGCTAGCAACATTAACAAACGTATAATACAGTTAGAAGTATATGAATTATATACAGGAAAACATCAAAAATTGGCAAAAAATCATTGTAATTTCATCCTGTACAACAGTGAAAGTAATGTGACATGTAGCCAAGTATGTAACCCACACACAAACACACACTGTTACGACCCCTCGCTCAAGGGAAGCAATAAAACAGAGGACACACGCGAATTACAAATTGTTGGCTCAAAATAAAACGTTATTTAAAGAGTAGTCACATACGAAAAATAAAGAAAACAACTATGTCTTTAGAAAACATTAGTAATATCAATGTGTAATGTAAAGTGCATGGATGTAATGTAATGTAGTGTATGGTAGAGTTGGAGTGAGAATGCAGAAGTACCCCAAAAAAAACACAAAACCAAAATGTTCAAAACTGAAGCCCTCTGGCTCAAACGGAAGCCTCTTTTAAAAGGAGCGTCTGAGTCAAAACAGGTGTTTTCAATCGGCTGACAATGGATGTAATTTTTGGGCTCAACTGCACTTCCCCAAACAAACAACGGGGGTCGTCATACCCCATAAGACAGGGACTCCCATAAAGATCCCTGTAACAAAACATCAAAACAAATCTGTAAAATGATATACCCGAGTCAAAACCAAAGACAGCTCCTAAAAATCTCCAAAGGAAGAAAACATCCAAATTAACCCAAAAACCTAGCTACATTATGCATACAGAGTGTGAGACAGTGGTGCATCAGCTACCACATTTTCCGAACCCCGAACATGTCAGATATCCAGGCAGAACGACTGCAGAAACAGGGACCGCTGAATCAACCGCTAGTTCGGACATTGCAAAGAATTCAAGAAAATCAATGGATTATGATCAGTGTATATCACAATAGGGGCACTTGAATTTAGATACACAGCAAAATGCTGTAGTGCCCAAATAAGGGCCAATGCTTCCTTCTCAACAACAGAATAGTGACGCTGATTTGAATTAAACTTTTTTGAAAAGAAGCTGACATCTTTATCTAGTCTTGTGTATACTCCATATAGCTAAAGCTGCAAATTCAACTCCTTGTTACAAATATGGTAGCACCATCACTTCTACCACAAAAGACTGCTTTGTAAATAATCTTAAAGAAGATTAAGGAAAACAGTCCGACACCGTGGTGTAACAAGCACACTCTTGGCTTAAAGAGAGCAGCCTGGAGAATTGAGCGCAGCTGGAAAAAAATGCTTGATGGATGTCTTGTGCTTGACTGAGGTAGAAGGTGTGCTAAAATAAATCTGAATGTCATCAGTATAACTAGCGTTTGATTATTTGTCCAATTGGTAGCATATAAATTGTAAAAAGAAGAGGCCCCAGAACAGAACCTTGAGGTACACCAGAACTGATGCATTTGGTAAATGATTTGTGTTTCTGATATATGACAAATTGTTGCCTCCCAGTCAAATAGGAGGAAAACCATTGAAAACCAAAGGCTGTGCCAGTAATTCCGATTGCTGAAAGCCATGAGAGTAAAGAGGTAGGTGCAGGGTCAAGAAGAGTAACTGGGAGGCAACAACTTTTTCTAATATCTTAGAGTGAAAAGATAAGTTCGAAATAGGCCTATAGCTACTTAGGGAAGAAGGTTCGAGACCATGCTTTTTAAGAACTGGAGTGACAGCAGCAATCTTAAGCTTTGATGGTACAGTTCCAGATGACATTGACATTAATGAAGTGAGTGATGGGTAGTGATAAAGCAGGCAAGCAAATCTTCAGTAAAGAGGTAGGTGCAGGATCAAGAAGACTAGTAGAGGAATTAGACAGCCTGATTATCTCATCAACCACTGTGGGGACAACAGAGTCAAAACTAGAGAAGCTGTGAGCACGGCATGAAGAGAGAGGTTCAGTGAGAGGAAACAGAAGTAGGGGGTTGACAGGTATGAAATGTTTTACTTTGAAAGAAGTTCAAGAAAGCATCACACATTTGATCAGAACCCTCTAGAGACTGTACGGGAGGCTGAGTTATTTTTTTAATCATAGTATATAATGTTCTAGGCCTCTTTTTGGACTTATTAATGAAAGTAGAGAAGTAAGATGATCGAGCTGCATTAAGAGCATTCCTGTACTGCTTAATGTGTTCAGTATATGCCGAGGAGTGAACAATAAGGCCAGTTTTCTTACAAAGCCTTTCGAGCCGGCGGCCCTGGGTTTTCATTGCCCTTAAGCTCAGTGCTGAACCAAGGAGAAGTCTGCAAGGATGGGACATGTCTGGATTTTAAGGGAGCAAAATGATTCAAAATAGTAGAAATACTTTCATCATAGACATTAAGAATGACTTCAGCACTGGAAAGACAGCAGCAGGCAGAGAGGGGGGAATCACTGAGTGCAGCAGAAAATGACAGAGGATCAACCAACTTCCATGCGCGATAATAAATCAAGGATTTCACAACAGGCTTTGGAAAAATTACAAGAAAATTCAATCAGTTTATGATCTAATATACCAATGTCAGAGCCTTTTAAGGCATACCAAATCCAGTGAATGACCATGTACATGAGTTGGAAAATCAATATGTTGCTGCAGATTAAAACAGTCCAGGACAGACATGAACTCACGAGCATGAACGATATCAGTATTAACGTGAATATTGAAATCCCTGAAATTTCATTGTCAGAAATTCACACAAATCTGATAGGAACTGCATGTTCATTTTAGGAGGACAGTAGACCAGTATTATAAGTGACGTGACATGTGGCCAAGTATGGTTACCCATACTCGGAATTAGTGCTCTGCATTTATCCCATCCAAAGTGCACACAAACAGCAGTGAACACACAACCACTGTAACCACAGTTATAAGCAGAGGAGAGTCACTAATGATTTTAAATGCCAAATATTCAAATGATGTCACCTCATGGAAAGCAGACAGCTCAATTTGAAGACTCTGGTGATAGACCACCGCCAGGCCCCCAACCCTGCCTCCAATTCGGGGCATAGTCAAAGTACTGAAACCAGGAGGAGAAAGCAAATTTAGTTCAACAAAGTCATTAGATGCTTGCCAGGTTTCTGTGAGCATCAGCAAATCACATTTATTGTCAGTAATGAGGTCCCGGAGAAATGTTCCTTTCCCAGTTAATGACCAAGAGTTGAGTAAGGCAAAATTACCACATTGCCCTCTTGTTAAGCACAGAGTCATATCTAGTCTTTTCAAGTGGTCTTAGAGACGATAAACAAACTCTGCGATGTATATACGTAGAAGACGACTTCCATGTGCTTAATTTGTGAGACCAGATAGAGGGGATGGAAGCAGGCAAAGAGCAGCTAATGTTCAGGAGTCATTTTAGTGAGCAATGAATAAAGCCGACGAACAATTCCAAAAATTTTACACAGTCCATATGTAGCGGGATCCAATCGGGAGAAACAATTCAAATGATGCAACTGCACCGATGTATAGCAAAGTTCCAAATAGAAAAGAGCACGTTTAGCAAACAAACACAAAGGGCCATTGGTCTCACGGCCCAACAGGGTTTATTTGAAAAAGATATTCCATACATGACTAGAAACAGAACACTTACCACTATAGTACACAGAACACACAACACTGATCCACGTTAGCCAGGCCAGACAGTGTTACACAGGGCAGAGCACTGCAAGAAGGTCATCTGCAGTGCCCAGAACGAACACACAGATTTAGTTCTGAGTGCTTGCGAAGGGCTGTGAAGTATGGCTGCGTAGCACCACGTTAGCCAAACCCGAGACAAACGATAAACAATACCAAGCATGGCGAATCAATGAGAAAGTGGAGACTCACTCACCGATACTGTCCAACAAACCATCGATCTGGGCAGAGGGCTAGCGGGGGGTATGAGGCGTGTGACAAATTACCATCCAAGAGAGGACAGTTCAAAAACTTTGATTATAGTT